ATCTGCATTCTGTAGATGTAGAAGATTGGGGTTGATCTGGATGACTTCGTGGGGTCCCATGGGAAGACTTTTTTCTAGAGGATTGAAATTGATGCTGCATGCCTGATGAGATGCCCTGAGCAATGGCCCGGGCAATCACACTTTGAAAATCCTCAGAAAGCTCTGGGTAAGCATGAGAAGGCTGGGAGGCTCAGCAGACTGAGGAGCCAAGCATGGCCTGGAAGAATCCCTTGTTCTGCGGTCAAAGGGGTCTCCTCAATGTCCTGAAGACTGTGCTGGAGACAGAAGCAGGGATACGTTGCTTTACTTACGTTGCCTTCCCACCTGCTCTCTGCTCAACCGGCTTGGCTCCTACGCGTGGTCCGGAGCTCCTTCGGACCTGTGTGATCCGCTGCCTCGACACTGGTCCGCGGCTCGAATAAGCCAGCCCACCGCCGATCAAAGGGCCCTCCCCGGATTACCGGCGGAGCACAGGCCCGAAGAGAGGTTTCCTCTTTCCTGGCAGTGCTTCTGGGCGCTTGCGGCGGCTGGAAATGAGCGTGCCGATCCTTGCGCTGCTCCATGTGCATTCCAAGATGGCTGCCTCCTCGCAAAATTGCAACTGCGACCACGCAGTGCAATGCCGAGTCAGCTCCGACCGATCCACTCGCCCCAAGTCTCTAGGACTGATCCGTGACCCTTACCGATGGGATTAGGGGTCGCATGTGCTGCGCTCTCTGGCGCGCAGCCTGGAGCATCCGCTTTAACCGGCCAGCAGTTTGGGGGCTCCCTGAATGCAACAAGCCCAGCTTGTGCATAAAAACAAAACTTTAGACAATACAGAGATGCTAGGAGAGACTTGGGAGGAATCACAGATGGAAGAAACACAACAAGATATAAGGAATAAAAACCTCTGAGACCAATTGGAGAGTCAAAAAGTTACTTCTCTTGGGTCGAAGACTGAGGTTAATCTGGGGAGTCACGAGGACGAAGCAGAGGGAGTGACTTCAAATCTACCTCAGCCTCTGGACAAATGGGCTGTGTTAATACCCACAAGTGGCTCCTCCCACGCTTCGGAGAAAGCGAATTCTAATTTCCTAAAAAGGTTGAAGTAAAAGTATGATAATGAGCATATGGATACGGAAGTCTAGTCCTAACAGAATAGCCACAGCCAATCCAACATCTGTGATTAATTATCATGAGTTATAGCTGAGTCTAATTTCAGTCCTAGTGAATTGTGGAATTAATTCATTTAGGTGTTATCAACTAGGAATGTCCTGCACACAGGAATGGAATTAAGTTTCTAATGAAACATGGCAGATACAAATGCATGTGGACTTCTTATTCAAGTAAACCTATCTGTTTAATAGACCAGCAACAAGTTTAAAGTATTATTTCAAATACTTCCCAGAGATGTGTATTACTATTAAGTCATAATCTCAACTCAGACTATAAAAAGCAGGACAATAAAATTATAATTCTAAAACTATAAAAGTTCATTCAGCTATCTCAAAACATACTTGTATTCAAATCTAGCAATGAGCTAAACTGCAAAAAATTAATCTAGGAATGCTTTAAGCATTAATAGATACTCATTAATGACACATCAGATAAACTAACTGCAATTTTAAGTACAGGAGAAAACTTTAATCAGTTCCACACTGTTAATTGGTTGTAATAGTAGTAGTACTTCTAATTATAGCTTACTTGAAACTATTTTGCATTCATTCTATAAAATTTCTTCTATCTTAAACTGCAACAAATCTTTAACCACTGTTCAGACTCCAGTAGATTAACTATACTTGAGTTGGATTTTTAAATTGCTAAGTAAGTCACAATAATAGCAGCCTACTTGGGACTGATGTAACAACTTAAAGGTACAATTTTATAGGGAATGTGACACAATTGAAGCAAATGAGATATAGATCATTTATGAAAGATGGAGGAGGTGTCATTTAATCATAGTAGAAATGCTGTAACTACTTTGTGGGAACCAGGTTTTGTCCCTTCTTGTTTTCAACTATAAGAATGAAAAAGGAGAATATGCTCCATTTATGGTAGACAAGTATAAATGTCCTGATACTCACCACACACTTTGCATTCCACAGGGAGTTCACAATATTTGGCTCTACACTGAGGACAGAAATATCCTCCTAGTGTAAGGCC